TTCCACCTTTTCTTTCCACCTTTTCTTATCACTTTATTTTGGCTTTCTTTTCTTCCACCTTTTTTCTTATCCACCTTTCTTTTCCACCTTTTTCTTATGTCATCTTTCTTTTTCGCTTTTATTCACCTTTTATAATAAATGTCAAGTAATGAAAGACAGCCAAATGAATCTAATGTCAAGAAGAAACGCCTTAAAAACCTTCGAACATAAAAATACTAAAAAAAAAAGGTTGAAAAAAAAAAGAAATTTGATCAAATAAATTTCAGTGCTACTGAGACTTTAAAACTTAATTATACTTTATCATTTCATTAACTCAAACTTCTAGTCGTAATAACTCGAATGTACAATAATGATGAAAAAGAATTGTAATAATTCATTTAGCGCAATGAAATTAACTTACTGAAATAAAATCATTAAACGTTTATCTTTTTCAAGTGCTGGTATTTTGGAACTGGTAAAAACTTCGCTGAAAGACGTATTCGAAACTAATTCAACACGGGTCATGTTTAGAATCATTAACGTCATACATTACCCAAATATAGTTGCCTGCAAAACTCATTTTATACAAATGGCAAAAGAGTCGAAACCTTATATTTCGACGATTTTTTAATTAGGTTTTAATATAGTTTTGACTTTTGACGGGATTATTATAGTTTTACCAGTGACCCTGTCATAACCCGAAAGTTTTGCCAGGCATCTATATACCTAAATCATATTTTAAATATTCTTCGGCTTTTTCATTATCATAAAAAAAATCATCTAGTAAAAATTTTATAAATTTTTAAATTTAGTCCCGTATATTTATCTTGCATAATTACGAGAAACGACCCCTTAAAAAAACTAATTAATTAGATGCTTTATTCAATAAGAAAAGTATTTTTTGATTTTTCTTAATAACATAATAATACACGACATGCTTTTCATTCAGACAACTTAAAAAATTTAACCTGAAAGCCATAATTAGGTATTCATGAAAAAGAAAATTTGCTTGTTGACAGCTGTTCACCCGGGAGATTTTTCTATAAATGTATAAATGTGTTGACATGCGGCTGAAATGATCGTCTATCAGAACTATTTAATAATCTTAAAATCCGTTCCGTAAACATTTCTCATAATATTCCACTAATTATAAAATCATGTCAACCGAAATGCAAGGTGGAATTAGAATTAGTATAGATAGAGGGGGAACCTTCACAGATTGTATTGGAAGCATTCCCGTTCCAGTATCAGAAGAATATCCAACAGGACGAAAAGAAATTGTTATCAAATTATTAAGTGTTGATCCACAAAATTATCCCGATGCTCCTAGAGAAGGTATTAGAAGAATTTTGGAAATCGCTTCTGGAAAACCTTTTTCCAGAAATGAACCTGTGGATACTTCTCTTATAGGTAAATTTTTGTTAAAAAAAAAAATGAAAATTTTTATTTTAAAATCTGCAAAAAAAAAAAAAAATGCTGGCTGGTTTCACAAAATATTAATCATAATAAAACCTCCGATCAAAAAAAAAATTTTTAACAGTTATCCTTTTTATATTGCAAATGGTTTATTTTAGAATCTATTCGCATGGGAACAACTGTTGCTACAAATGCTCTTTTGGAAAGAAAGGGAGAAAAATGTGCACTTTTAATTACTAAAGGATTTAAGGTAAAAAAAAAAAAATCGAATTTAAACCTTACTTAATATTTATGAATTTAATTACAACGATTTGATTTAACTTTTTTATTTAAATAATTTAGGATCTTTTACTAATTGGTATAAGTTATTAAATTAAAATTGTATTTAAACAATTGCGACATCATAACGAAAAAATTTTATTTTTTTTACTAAATAGGCAATCAATCTCGTCCGAAAATTTTTGATCTTGCTATTCATAAACCTGATGTTTTGTATCAACGTGTTATTGAAATTGATGAAAGGTATTTATTTACTTTTTAGGTTTTCGGTTATTATGTTGATAACTTATTAACTTAATTTATAAGAATTTCTTTAATTGGTGACGGATTGAATCTTCCATCCGAGTTAACTAATAATATTTCAAAAGATATATTTCAAGGGATATCTGGAGAATATGTAAAAATACTTAAAAAACCAGGTATTTAATAAATTTTAATTATTTTATAAATCTATTGTTTATATATAAAGTAATTAACAAACATATATATTTATTAGATTTAAATAAAGTTAAAGAAGATTTACAATCTTTATATAATGATGGATTTAGAAGTATTGCAATTTGTTTAATTCATTCATATACTTATCCAGGTTTGAATTTTATTGAGTTAATTGTATTTTAATTTATTATGAATGATTAATAATATTATTTTTAAACAAATAAGAACATGAACAACTTTTAGAAAAAGTTGCTTTATCTATAGGATTTACACATGTTTCATTATCATCTTCTATAATGCCAATGATTAAAATGGTTCCTCGTGGAACTTCTTCTACAGCTGATGCATACTTAACACCATGTATTCATAAATATATTAATGGTTTTATTTCTGGTTTTGATGAAAATTTAAAAAATAAAGTTAAATTAGAATTTATGCAAAGTGATGGTGGTCTTGTACCAGTTAATAAATTTTCTGGTTTTAAAGCTATATTATCAGGTCCTGCTGCTGGTGTTGTTGGTAAATTATACTATTTTATTTATAAAATTTTAATTTTATTTATAATTCTCAATTATTAAAAAATATTTATCTTAGGTTATGCTTTAACTTCATATAATAAAAAAGAAAATATACCAGTTATTGGATTTGATATGGGAGGAACAAGTACAGGTATGATTTTTTTTATCAAATATTATTTTTTTCATTAATATAAATACTTATAAATCAAAAATTTTTTATTTAAGATGTATCAAGATATAATGGTCATTATGAACATGTATTCGAAACAACAACAGCTGGTGTAACAATTCAAGCTCCTCAATTGAATATTAATACAGTATTATTTCATTAATATATTATTATTAATTTTATTTTAAATATGATAATTTTCATTTTTTTTTTATATTTTTTAAAATTTTATTTATAGGTTGCTGCTGGTGGTGGATCATGCTTATTTTTTCGTAATGGAATGTTTATTGTTGGTCCAGAAGTATATATATATATTTATAATAAAACTCTTTTTATTATAGTAATTTTTTTAATTAAAATTCTTTTTTTTATTATAATAAGAGTGCTGGTGCACATCCTGGACCTACATGTTATAGGTAAATAAAATAAATTTTAATTAAAATATTATTTATTATTTTATTTATATTATAATATTAATGTTTAATGTTTAATTATATATATAGAAAAAATGGACCTTTAACTGTTACAGATGCAAATCTTATTCTTGGTCGACTTATTCCAGATTATTTTCCAAAGATCTTTGGAATAAATGAAGATCAACCATTAGATTTAGAAGTTACAACTCAAAAATTTCAAGAATTAGCAAAAGAAATCAATATATTTATGCATAATAATAATAATAAGCAAATGAGTATAGATGAAATAGCATATGGGTAAGTTTTTAAAATTTTATTAACTTAATGAAATTTTATGTTTATTAATAAATTTTATCTTTAAAATAAAAATAATAATAATAATAGGTTTATAAAAGTTGCTAATGAAACCATGTGTCGACCAATTCGTCTTTTAACTGAAGCTAAAGGTTATGATACATCAAATCATATTTTAGCATGCTTTGGTGGTGCTGGAGGACAACATGCTTGTGCAATAGCTAGAAATCTGGGTATTCATAAGATCTTAATTCATCGATATAGTTCAGTTTTATCAGCTTATGGTTTATCATTAGCAAATGTTGTTTATGAAGTACAAGAACCAAGTGCTGAAATTTATTCTGAAACATCTTTGTCAAAATTACAAGAAAGGATTCAAATTTTACGTAATAAATGTACTGCAGAACTTAAATCACAAGGATTTAAAGATGAATCATATATTAAACATGAAATTTATTTAAATTTACGTTATCATGGAACTGATTTTGCCTTAATGGTTTTAAAACCAGAATCATCTTGGAATTTTTCAGAATCTTTTATTCAACAATATCAACAAGAATTTGGTTTTACATTTCCTGATCGAAGTATTTATGTAGATGATATCAGAATTCGTGGTATAGCTAAAGGATTTAAAGTTACTCAACATGATGTATTTGATGAAATCCAAAAGATTGATTCAAAGTTGGTAGATCCTTCACAAATTAAAGAGAAAACTTTGATTTATTTTGAAAATGGAAGAGTAGAAACTCCAATATACCTTTTAGAACATCTTAAAATTGGTGATAAAATCACTGGTCCTTCTATGATTATAGATGTAAATTCTACAATTATTGTAGCTCCCGATTGTAGTGCAATAATTACTTCTTCACATATAATGATTACTATCGGAAGTGATGTTAGATCAAAAGTTTCAACCAAATTGGATCCTATTCAACTTGCAATATTTGGTCATCGATTTATGAGTATTGCAGAACAAATGGGACATACTTTACAAAAAACTTCTATTTCTACAAACATAAAAGAGAGATTGGATTTTTCTTGCGCACTTTTTGGAGATGATGGCAGTTTAGTTGCTAATGGTATACGATCTATTTTAAAGGTTTAAAGTATTATATCGTCTTTGTGATTCGTTTATTTACCTTATCAAAATTTTTTTTTACTTTATATTAGCACCGCATATTCCTGTACATCTTGGAAGTTTAAGTCATACGGTAAAATATCAAATGAATTATTATAAAGATAAATTAGAAGAGGGAGATGTAATTTTAACCAATCATCCACAAGCCGGTGGTTCACATTTACCAGGTAACTTGATTAAAAAAAAAAATGAAATTTTTTTTTGATGTTCTAAATTTATAATTCTTTTATGTTTTATAGATATCACTGTGATTACACCTGTATTCAACGAAGGCAAGATTGTATTTTTTGTTGCATCTAGAGGACATCATGCGGACATTGGTGGCATTTTACCTGGTAAGAATCAATGAAATAATATTAAATCATTAATCTACATATTAATGATAACCTATGACAATTTTAGGTTCGATGCCTCCAAATTCAAAAGAGTTGTATCAAGAAGGAGCTGCGATCAAATCATTTAAGCTTGTTTCTAAAGGAAAGTTTGATTATTATGGTTTGGTCGATATTCTTGTGAATCAACCTGCAAAATATCCTGGATGTAGTGGTACTAGATGTTTACGTGACAACGTTTCTGATTTAAAAGCTCAAGTGGCAGCCAATCTTAAGGGTATCACACTTGTCAAAGCTCTTATTCAAGAATATGGGTTAGATGTTGTTTTGGCTTACATGATGTACATAAGGAAAAACGCCGAAATATCCGTGAAAGAACTGTTAAAAGATGTTAGTCGTCGAATAGGTTGTACGGTATTGAAAGCCATTGATTTTATGGATGATGGAAGTCCGATTCAGTTAAAAATTACAATAGATGAGAAGGAGGGAACAGCAGAATTTGATTTTAGCGGTACTGGACCAGAAGTTTACGGTACGCTTAACCTTATTGCGTGTAACCTTCTTTTATTAAAAATACTAATTCAACTTCAACGTGTAGCAAATTACAACGCTCCACCTTCGGTATTGTAAATTAAATTATAATTTTTTTTTCTTTTTTTATATTCATCTAATTTTGATTTTTTACTTTAAAAAAGGTCACATATAGTGCGATCATTTATTGTCTTCGCTCTCTTATTGCAAATGACATACCTTTAAACCAAGGATGCCTTACCCCCATTGATATCAAGATTCCAGAGAAATCTTTTTTAAATCCCTCCGACAAAGCTGCCGTCGTTGGCGGCAACGTATTAACTTCACAACGTCTTGTTGACGTTATTCTCAAAGCATTTCAAGCGTGTGCAGCCAGTCAAGGTGATTGTAATAACCTTACTTTTGGAAAAGGCGGAAAAACCGAGGATGGAACCAAGGTTATAGAAGGATGGGGTTATTATGAAACGATTGCGGGAGGTAAAATTAAATTTTTTTTTTTTTATACGTTTTTTTCATAAAAAAAAAAAGGATTGCATTTCAATTAATCTGTTTTTTTTTCTTTAAAAACTATAGGTAGTGGGGCTGGACCCACCTGGACAGGTCAAAGTGGTGTTCATACGGTATGTTTATTTTAAAAAGTTAATAAATTATAAGTTATAAAAATTGTATTCATTTTTTCAACTTTGATTTTGTAGCATATGACCAATACTAGAATTACAGATCCGGAAATACTTGAAAAAAGATACGATCATTCAATAATACTTCGAGAGTTTTCGCTTCGAAGAGGTAAAAGTTAACGCTTATTTATAAATATCAAGGTCACATTACGACATTTGTTAATGTATCCGTTCATTTTAAAAGGTTCTGGAGGTGCAGGACTTCATAAAGGAGGAAATGGAGTAATACGAGATATAGAGTTTCGTGAACCCCTTCAAGTCAGTATACTTTCAGAAAGACGCGTTCACCATCCTTACGGATTACAAGGTGGTAAAAATGGGTCAAAAGGACTTAACTTGTGGATTCGTCGGAATGAAAATGATGGTGAAGTTCGTACCATTAATTTAGGAGGTAGAAATACCGTTAAGGTAAACGTAGGTGATCGTATTGTCATTTGTACACCTGGCGGTGGAGGATGGGGCATCCCAACTAATGAACAAGTTGATGTTGATGAAGTTGATGAAGCTATTTTGAAATATTTGCAATAAAAGTTAAACTAGCCTAGTTTCTGTTATCAATATGACTAATGTATGAAAACTAATTAAATTGAAATTATATGTCTCACTCCTGATAGAAGACATGTCGTTGGAATTTATAAGATAAAGTAATCTGCGTTTTAATAATATATTATTTTTGATAGGATTCGACATAAATTTTTTGAGAGAGAAAATTTTGAGTACTACACAAATTTACCGAGTTTACCGAATTTAACCGAGTTTATCAGGTTTATCGAGTTTTGCATGAAAGATAATTCCGATATCAGCTAAAGCTTTATTAGTAAAAAAAAAAAAAAAAAAAAATAAGAACATTATTCATTTGATCTTTTTGCGAGTGTCGTTGATTATAATCCGGAACGCTTAGGTTTCTGGGAATTTTTAAATAATTTGAGATTAATAGAAGTATTTATTTTGATTCGCGTCTTTTATACAACGACTTTTATAAAATTAATAATGTCGATTATCCCATTGCATATCATATAATTGTTTTGTAAATAGATACTAACATGACATGTAACCCTTTGTAATAGAAAACGTTTACTAAATATGCTCAGGTTTAACATTTATAATTCATTCTCATCTCAATGACCCTCCCATATAAGGGAGTGCTTGTTGCCGATCAATTGTACAATATAAATAGACCTTCAAAAGAAAAAAAATTTTTTTTTTAAAAAATGTCAAAACATCGTGTAGCAATTATTGGAGCAGGAGCATCAGGGCTCACTAGCATTAAACAGTGCCTTGATGATGGATTTGAACCAGTGTGTTTTGAAGCATCAGGGCAAACGGGGGGACTTTGGAGATATACAGAAATTGATGATAAAAATCATGACCCACATTCATCAATTTATAAAACTGTCATAATCAATACAAGTAAAGAGGTGATGTCATTCACAGACTTTCCTGTTCCATACGAATGGCCATCTTATTTACATAATAAAGCGGTTGCAATGTATTTTGATATGTACATGGAAAAATTTAATTTGTTACCACATATCAGATTAAATTCTCCCGTACAAAGAATTTCAATTCGTGATAATAATAAGTGGAATGTAAAATATTTAAATGAAAATAAAGAAGAATGTGATGAAATTTTTGATTATGTTATGGTTTGTACCGGTCATCATAGATATCCTCGTCTTCCTAAATATGAAGGAATGGATACATTTCCCGGAAAGCAAATGCATTCCCATTTTTATCGACGGTATGTGATAACGATGAAACTTTATTTATTAATTATTTTTAATATATGCACGTATAATGATTTCTTTTTTTTTTTTTTTTAAAAAAAAAAAAAAAAAATAGTGCGAGTGACTTTGATAACAAACGAGTAGTTGTTGTTGGATGTGGTAATAGTGGTATGGATATTTCAGTCGAGTTATCTGGAATTGCATCACAAGTTTACTTGTGTGCACGTAGGGGAACGCTTCCTTGGATTTTACCACGTCTCGTATTTGGAAATACACCAATCGATCATCTACAATCTCGAATCAATCTTTATTTGCCATTATTTATGAAAAATTTAATAATAAAAATTATAACACGTATATCGGTTGGACCACATCCAAAAGGATTTAAACCAAAATCAAAACCTACGGAAGGTCACCCAACTGTTAAAACTGAATTTCTTGAGCGTGTACATACCGGTACAATTATATGTAAGCCGAATATTAAGGAATTGAGACAAGATAATTCCATCGAATTTGTTGATGGAAGTGTATTGGAAGATATTGATGTTATCATTTACGCTACTGGATATAATATTAAATTTGAATTTTTAGATAAAGAAATTGTTAATGGGGGGAAAGAAATTGGACAACAATTTGAAGAAGAATATCGTGAAAATTTAGTATGGTTATATAAATATATTTTTCCCCCAAACGTTCCTAATATCGCTTTCATTGGTTTGATTCAAGCTATCGGTGCTCTTATGCCTGTAAGTGATATACAAGCTCAATACGTAACTAGTTGTTGGAAAGGTTTATTACCTAAAATACCTTCACCAGTTGAAATGGATGCTGATATTAGAAGAAATCAAAGAGAAATCAGAAAACATTTTTACAGTTCAGCGAGACATACTATTCAAGCCGACATGTATTCTTATCTGGATGAATTAACTAAAGAAATGGGTAGTTTACCTTCTCTAGCTAGAGTTTTAATGACATTTGGTCCAAGTTTATGGGGTCATGTTTTATTCGGTATACCAACTCCAATTCATGTAAGTTTACCTTATATAACTTAAAAATTTAAAAAGTTCGACTTTAATGACCTTTTCCAAAAATTTTAGTATCGCTTATTTGGAAGATTATCTTGGAAAGGTGCTAGTGAAGCTATCACCAAATATAATGGAGGTAAATACATGTATAAAAAATAATTCGTTTTCATCAAGGAATGTTATTAAAAAATTTTGGTACCCCTTTCTATTTTTCTCTTTTTAGGACCAAATTATAAACCAGCAATAGTTATTTTTTGCGTTGCATTTTATATTAGCTATTTAATAATTAAAAGGACTATTTAAATTCATTCTGAAGAGAATTTTAAATGTGATTTATCTATTTCTTTTTTCAGTGACTTGATCGGTGATCGTTCTTTTTTTGTTAATAAAGTTACAAGCTTTTTATGGCACGTTTTTCGATTGAAATTTATAACTTCCTCAATTGATTTTCTTACTTCCTTCCTTCCTTACTTCCATCAATGCATTCATTAATTTTAATGAAGATTATAATGCAACCTTTCTCTTCACACCACAAAATGTTTTATACTGGATTAATCCAATCACCTCACATTATAAAAAATGTGACAATATAATGCAATGATATTAAAGATTGCACTGTTTTAATTGCTTCATATCAACCCGTGCATCGAAAAAAAGTGACCAGTTTACATACGAAAAATATATTGTGTTATTTATTTTATTGACAATTGTGATGTTGATGAATCGTTGGAGCTACTGTAAGGAGAATTCGATTAGTTTGTTCACTAACAGATACACCATGAAAAAAGGTGGATTATATGTGTTGAAAAAAAACACCGAAAAATATTATTCATCAAATAAGGATATAAATCATCCCAACACGCTCCGCCCTTTTCCTGCATCTTTCAAATCCAGACCAATTATTATTCAAAAATTTTATCAAGGCAATTTTTCTTCGCATGTGTTCTCTTTCATCCGCTTCCAATTTAACTATCACTTTCACCCTTTTATTTTAATTGTTAATCATTAATACCAATGGTTTATTTGCGAGTATTCCAATTGTATAAATGTGTTTTATCACACTTTCATGTTTTAAAATATTCATTTACATACGTACCTATAACAACCCTGAATAAGATCGTGACGAGTCAAAAATTTTAAGTATTAAATAATTGCTCTTTTCACGTGCTTGAAACCAACAACACTGCAACAATCAATATCTCTTAAAGTGTTCACTATCTTCATATTTATTTTGCCTCTAAACCACCAATATAATTTATAAAACTACATTTACAAAAGTATTTTGTAAATGCAATACAGTCGACTCCCTATATAAAAAACTTATTCTTTTAAAATCACATTATATGCTTTTTATCAATTTTTAGTTCTGAAAGGTATGACTATATAAGAGGTCGACTGTATTTATTTATGTAATGTATTTCTCTTTTTAATGAAACTATTAAACTATTATATTTCTATAAACTTATAGAGTAAATTTTTTCATCGCACGTGCGATACATCGCCTCCTGGGCAAAATTAAGCAAAATTCATACATGTGACATTTAACGCGGGGCGTGAAAAATAGCTTTTTTTAACAAAAAAAAATTTCTGTCCCAGAATATACTACTGTTTTAATAATTAATTTCCGCTTTTTGTTCCCTAACTAAATTACTACGCAATTATGGACAACTGAAAAAGCGGATAAAAAATATGAAAAAGGTAGTATATGAAAAATGAAGAAGGGAGGGGGTTGTGACGCGGGTGACAAAAAAGAGGCGATGTATTGATGATTAAATTATTCCATAATAATAATGATAATTTATTTGAATGAAATAATTCTAACTTAATATTAATAATGAAATGAAATTAATGTAATTTAATTACCTTGGTTTTTTAAAAAAATAATAATTGGAATATAATTATAATTTAATATATTATTGCAAGTTTTGATAATTTGAAAATAACTCAAATTATTATATTTAACTAAGCTACTATTAAAAAAATTAATAAATTTAAGTGAAAACTTAAATTTAACTTAAACTTTATTATGTAATAATAATTAAAGATGAATTTTAATTAACTTTTTAAAATAAAATAATTATTAACTTTTTTAAATTGATTTATAATAGAATTAAATTATAAATTTTAATCATTATTATAAAAAGAAATATAATATACATTTTAGCCTTAATATATAAAATAAAAATCTTAATTAATTTAATAAGTATATTAATGTAAATTTAATGTTTTAACTCAATTCAAAATAGCTAAAAATATTTGGATATACTAATCATATCTGTTTTAAGTAAATGGCTTTTAATGATGTTATAAATCAATTACTAATAAATAAACTAAATTAAAATCAGTAACTATTAATAAATTATTATTTGTAAAATAAAATAGTAAATATTATAATCCTTTTATATAATTGTATATTTACAAACTAAAGGAATTTTAATTATTGATATTTATAATAAAATTAGATGTTTATATAATAATAAATTAATTAATAATCAATTAATTTAAAATCTACATTCATTTTTATTATTTAATTAAACAATGCATTTGATTGAAAAATTAATTATATATGATTAATTAAGTAATTTAAATTTTAATTGATCATATAAATAAAAGACTAATCAAATAATTAATTATAATATTTTTCATTAATTAAATATCTTATCTTAGATTATAGAAACTTATTAGGTAAATTTATCTGCTTATTTACTATAAATTTTCTTTTAATTAACTTTTATAAAAAATTAAAGTTTTTTTAAAAGTTTTTTTTATAAATTTATATTATATCAAAGTAATTTTTATTTTTTAATTATATAATAAAAATTTAAAATTATTTATAAACTAAAATTTTTAATTTTTAAAAATATTTTATATTAAAAAATTTTATCATTAATCTTTAATAAACTTATTAAAATTTATTTTTAACAATATTAATTATAATAGAATATAAAATTTATTATAAAAAATAATTTTTTAAAAAAAATGTAATTTATTGTCATATAATATATTATTCTATTATATAACTATATTCATTATCTATATCACTCATTATAACATATTTATTATATAGATCATTTTTATAATTTTATAATATTTGCCTAAAATTTCATAATGTAAATCAATTACATGATAAAATAATACATTGTTTAAATGATAAATAAATTCTTTTTTTATAACTTTATGATTTATTAAAAAATTATAATTTTCAATAATAATAAAATAATTTACCATATAAATTTTTAAGAAATTTTATAATAAACAATTTAAAACTTAATTTTAAATTTAAATTATTTAAAAAACTTTTTAATAAACTTAAAATTTTTATTAAATTATATTTTATATAATTATTATATAATTAAAATTAATATTTAATATATTATTAAGAAATTAATATTTTTTATATATTATTGCCTATTAAATAATCTAAGAAATAATATTTAATGGTGTATTTATTAAAATAATAAAGTATATTTATTCAAATATATTAATTATTTATATATCTAATCTATATTCAATGATTAGCGAAATCTTAATTTTGCTAATTTTTTAATAAGATTTTGATATAATTTTATTATATTTATAAAATTATTTAGTTTACCTTTTTGAATTTTACAGATTTTTTAATGAGATTTAATATAATTTTGTTATCTTTTAACTCTTACTATTTAAATAACTTATTAAACCTTTACTTTAGATTTTGTATATAATAATTTTAGATATATTGATTTATATGATATAAAGCTATTAAATTAACATCTTAAAGAATTTGTTATTTATATATTTATTTATAAAATTAACTTGATTGAGTAACTTTTATAAAGAATAATTTACAAATTTTTTATTAATATAAACTACTATTAATTCTATTTAAAAAGAATTCTTAACAAATAATCTTGGATTCATCTCATTAAGTGATAGTATTTTTATATTTTTGAGATTAATAGATAGCAAGATATAAGGAATTAAAATTTAATTTTTTTTTAATAATAATTTATCATTTATTTATCTTTAAAAATCATTAGTTAATTACATTTTTTAATTTTTACTTAGAAAACATCATAAAATTTATTATAAAAGTATTAATTTTTAATAACATTTTTTTTTAAAATATTTAAAAATGATTTTAATTTATTAAATAAAATTGCCTACAAATTTATAGGCAAAATAGTTAAAGGGATAATCATACATATACTATTTAGGAGACGTGTTGGTATTAAATTGTAAAATAATATCCGGATTTAAAATTCCTTCGGAAAATTTGAATAGATTTTGTGTGCTGGTGGGAATGTAAGCATTGGTGGTATTCGAGGCCACCCAATTTTTCAATATTCATGCCTTTCATCGAAACTATTTTTGATACATTAAAGTGCTTCTGTATAAAAAAATTTGATTTAGATGAATGATTTAAATAATTTATTTTATTAATATATATAAGATTTACATATTACGTTCATTAATTTCGACATGCTATAAATGTATTTGGCACAGCATCAGTCAATCGCTGACTAATCATAACCGTTCCACCCACTTGTAAAATAATTATATAATTATTCCTTAATGGTATTCATCTTATCTTTATAAGACTCTTTCCTTACACCCTTTTCACCGCCTTTATTTCTATTATTAACAACATTATTATTTCCAACTAATTTACCAGTCTTTACCCAACCTTCATAAGCTTGATATCTCCCCTTAGCTGCACCGCTACTAACATATTGACTTGAACCAACCGCTTGTAATATAGCATATTTTCTAGGAATTTCAAGATAATCTCCATATACCTTTTCATCTACCGAATCTACTTTCAAATCGGTTATTGGATTTGTAAGGTTGGCACGAAGGCAAAAGCTTGCATAATGAGGATATTCCGAATTACTTTTTAATGAAGGATCGTTGTCTCCATTTGGTGTTGATGTTAAAGTCATATTCTTATTTTGATTTATATATCTATTGCAAAAAAAAAAGATCGAAAATTAATCCTATCGATTGAAGAATTTATGATTACAAACTATAATTCGTTCACTTACTGTATGTATTCTCTGGCCTCATTTGATGATACATTTGGATTTAAGCTTTTTGATACCATTGATTCCATAATAGTTGATGGATTGTCCTTTTTTGATACCGTCGATTCTATCGATGACGGATTATCCTTTCCTATACTTGTTATTCCTTGACCTTTCTCTTTCTCTTCAACATCTTTTGGCTTGGTATTCGGTAACGCAAGCCATTTTTTAACACCTCCGATATTCATCAATCTATTAATTAATCAACATAATTATTATCAGGTCGGCAGATTATAATTACTTTTGTAGGAAAACTTACCTCGTGGCCTGTTGAGTAACACGAACAGTAAACGGGCTATAATCATAAGCTCCAAGCTCAGCACTGTAAATAATAATATGAAATATTCATTAACAGAAATTGTCATCATATAATAATCGAAACTAGCGATAGTATTAGAATATACATTGCGGGTATATATTTCGTTGTGCTATTCATGTTGTATGCGAATAGTTTTTCAAATGAAGTAAACAATCTTGGACGATAATATTCGATCCAATATCCAGAATATGGATCTGTCTCGTCGTCAAATTGATGATCTAATCGTGAGACAGGCTGATATTTTGTGATATCAGGTTGCTCATCTTTTGGCTCAAGAACATCTTTTGTCCACCAATTTATATAACTTCATAATAGAATAAATTTTTGTTAAATAATAAATAAATAAATAAATAAATAATAATCGTTCAAAGCATCGTTTTACCTTCTAGGTGGTCTTTTAAAACGTGGATCCTCATTATGCAAATAATAATCATTTGGTAGTTCCCATAAATTTGGAAGCCCTTTCTGTGGAACAAAGTTTCCAAGGAAAAGATTCATTGCATCCTGCTTTTCAGCATCTACACGAAATAACAATAGCGTATATACTTAAAATTAATATTGACCATACAAGCTTTTATGAATTTACACATACCAGCAAATGCATTGTTATAATATCTCCTTAGATTCTCAATCAAATCTCTAGAGTGACTTGTCCATTGATTTATTTTACGATATGAGTCTATTGTATTAACCAAATTTGATCCACCATACTGCAACGCAATGGTATCTCCGTGGTCATGGTACATATCTGTCAACATATTCAGGACATCGGAATCTACCGGGACCCGAGGCTCATCGATAATTCCCAGGGCATATAACTATAAGTGACAACAAGAAAAAGTTAATAGACATAAAAACAAAGTCTTTACAACAATATTCAAAAAAGATGCAAGTACTTGATGTCCTAAAGCACATTTTCCAATTATTAGCTGGGCGGCGTTTGTACGATCCAGACAATCAATGCAATTTGTCCTAACAACCCCGCTTTGTCGAAGAAACATTCTTCGTGTTTGAGGCTTTCCATTTCTAAAAATTAAAAAGAATATCAACCAAAAAATTCACGCATGCAAAAGATAATTTTTTTAAAAAAAAAATAATAATATATACTTCTCTTCTCTTTTTAAAACATTTATCCATGCCTCTGGCCCACTATGGAAAAATCCAGTGTCTGCCAAATATTCTTCAGCGAAACCTTCCATCAAGTCTACAACATCTTCGTCACTGGATAAAAAAATTTTTCGATGAACGATAATCTTTTTTTTTTTAAAAAAAAAAAATAAAAATAAAGGAATTAAAAGAAAAAGAAAACAATTTACCCCTTTCTGGCTTTTGACATATCCCATGCGATATACTTTAAACATTTATCTGGTAAGAATTGACTTAAATAAGCCATAGTCTCTGAAAATTCATCTCCTAAAATTCCCTCACGTGGATTTTTTTCTTTTGTCTACAATTCAGAAGCGAAACTATTGACGTTTTGTATGGGATAATATAAATACACAAGAGAAAGACAATACCTACCTTAATCAAATTCAAAACAATTATGGGCGCTCCATATCGTTTAAACATATTATCGAAATGCAATGCCGCAGCAGCAAAGAAGGGATCTCGAAAGTTTACTATGATAATAAAATAAAGTTAAAATAAATTTAGAATAAATATGAAAATAATAAAAAAAACTTACTGGCTATTGGCGGTTTTGGAGACATGTTTGTTACGTCTTGTGACCAAAATAACGGTATCGATCCACGATGTTGAACATAGGAAGAATAGTACGGGTTATCATAGAGACCAGATCGATGAAAAGAAGTAGTACTCATTTCCGATACGATTTGCTCAGTTTCTACATCATTGGCAACATAACCCTTAACAATTCAATCCAATCGTATAAAAAATTAAGCGTGAATAACTTGTAAATATACGACATATAAGATAAATCATTCACACGTGAAGGAAATATATACTTGATCATTAACACCACGTTTTAAGAAACGAGCCCCGGCAAAATAACGAGACCTTCGTGCAATCAACGTTACGAAAATATTTCGTCCAAAAATTGATATTTCTAATCATTAATTAAAGAAAATTCAACACTTTAAAAAAGAATTTTTTTTATTAAAAAGGTAATAATATTATTATAATTAATATAAATATTTCCACGTTTAATTATACTCACTTGACTGATCCACGAATCCGTGTATAATCGGAAGAATCCAGTCCGAATTATTTTTTAAGCTTCTGAATCCAGTTTCTAATAAATAATGATTCCAAACAAACATTTCGTTGTATGAAAAATTCTTACGATTTGGTGGATGTGTCATATTATGCTGTAACGTGTGTGTAATATCATACGTATAACTAAAATAAAAATTCTTCGTCAAGTCCACATTATTGAAAATATTATTATATCTGTTGAATTTTTTTTTTTTAAAAAAAAAAAATTATTATTTGTTAAAAAGTCGAATCGTTCATAAAAATAAAATTTTATCTTGAATCAATTACCTGTATTCATCAGAATTCTTTTCAGGTTTCGTAGGCGGACCAATGGGTCTAAGAATTGTTTCATCGATGTGATAAATATAATGACCTCCTATTAAGGCAACAGCGCTTCTCTTTGTAATTAATGAAATGTAGTATCCTTCATTAAATTTAATAAATCCTGTTAAAAATAAAGTAGAAAAAGATAAGTTATTATTTAATAAACAACAGTGCTTCTTATTATGCTCAGAGAGTGACACACCTACAATCCCATACGCCATTACAACTTTGTTTAAACCTCCTGAGACTCTATTTCCTTCCTCAAGAACTGTTAAAATATCAGTTATTTCTTGTTTAGAATAGATAACATCATCCTCAATCACGGTGAGTTCTGTAGGCGTCGTTCGATCGATTTTCAATATCCGGAATCTGTTATCACTTTGATTAGATCCCACCATATAATAATTCTTTTATTTTAAAGCGAAAAAGAAATCGATAAATTGATCATTCTAATTAATTCAAACCCACACTATAAAAATTTATTGACAAAATGTATTGTACCGTTTTAGTCTCATATAATATAAATTTATTCAAAACTAATCGATCAACTTTGTTTGCATCTTCGAAGTCAAAACATCCAATAGCTGGTGGCGCAGATAATCGGTTTACAAACGATGATTTCATGCTCACTTTTGCAAGATTGGCATATGAAAATCGCTGATTTGAAACATCCACGGCTGCCATGTTTACTTCTCTTATTATAAATTTACTTATTTTTTTTCACACCCAAAACTAATTTTAAATATTAAATATGAAATCAGATAATGAACGAACATATATTAATTTAACTTAATTTGATTAATCATTATAAATTTTAAAAACTCACATAATTTACAAAAAATTCAAATAATCTCAAATCAAACACTGTCTCCCACAATTAGCACAAATAAAGTCGAATATATATATTTAAATTTGTTACACAAAAAGTGAGATCTAAACATAAGCACGTGATTTACATCTAATCAAAAATACTGCAATAATTTTTTTTTCAATAAAAAAATTTTTTGACAAAAAAAAAAATGAATTCAGAACCTTCGAATATTGAAGAAGCGATAAATTCATTGTCATATGAACAGCAACTAAAACACCCGTCACCGAATGTTAAAGAGGAAGCTCTGTATGATGATCTCGACCAAAGTGAATACACTGAAGAAGAGGAGATAAATGTGTTATGTTCAAGCTCTATGCCTGTTTATCCGACACTTGAAATTCCTGTCGATTTTACAATACCCAAAACACCAGTGGATAATAACGAGGAGTTTACAATGAGCAAAGAATCAGAAGATAAGAATGAAGATATACTCAAAGCACCGGTGGTTAAGAAAGAAGATTCTACAATATCCAAAACAACATTGGATAAGAATGAGGAGTTTACAATAAGCAATTCATTAGTAGATAAGAATGAAGATATACCCAAAGCACCGGTGGATAAGAATGAAGATTCTACAATATCTAAAACACCAGTGGATAAGAATGAAGATTCTACAATACCAGTAAATAAGAACGAAGATTTTGCAATAAGTATAGCATTAGAAGATAAGAATGAAGACGTTACAATGACGGAAAAGTAAATACTTAAAAACTTGGTTTTAACATATTAAACATTAATCATAATATATTTATTTATTTATTTACATTAGCTTAGATTCTGATTCTGACTCTGATTCTAGTATCTCTGATTTTGAAATGGCGGACATAGATGATTTTGAGCAAGCCATGATATCTGTGGATCAAGTATTTTATGAGGAAGAAATGGGATTAGGTTCAGAACCTTTACGGACAAAAAATGAGATTACTGATATAATAATCAATAAAACTACATTGGAAATTAAACCTGATATGCATCTAACAGAAATTGGCTTTATACTTCATGTAGTGAAAAACCAAGTGGTTGTTAAACCTAGTGTTACTGGTGAATGTAACATTTTGGATGTGGGAACAGTTTTAGTTCTAGATAATAGGGAGCTTCTTGGTGAAGTAAATAATATTTCAAATTAACAAGTTTCTTTGTGATATCACCTTTATTTATTTCATCAATTTATAAATTTCAATTTATTTTTACCAATAGATCTTTGAGACGATAGGTCCAGTAACACATCCAATGTATGTGGTTCGTTTTAATGACTCATCCGAAATTAACAAGGAGAAAGTCATAAAAGATGCAAAAGTTTTCAGAGTTAATGAATTGTCACATTTTGTATTTATTGGGGAGATTTCTGTGCATAAAGGATGCGATGCGAGTAATTTATATGACGAAGAAGTTAATGAAGAGGTGTAGTGGTTATTGAATTTTTTTTTTTTTTGGACGATAATACAGATTCAAACTAACACATTTTTAAATCCCTATTATAGGAAATTGAATTTTCTGATGATGAGAAAGAAAAATTATATAATACAATGCAAAAGCGTAAAATGAAGGAGTAAGTAAATTTATTAGCTAAACTTTTCATGTTAAAAATGTATGTAATATATATATATTTTTTTAATAAAATTTCGTATTATTAGTTCAATAACAACCAACCGTGGCGAGCGAGGAAACAGAGGAAATAGAGGAAACAGAGGAAACAGAAGAAACAGAGGAAGAGGAAACAGAGGAGCCCACCACCCATACCCGCCTCGAAACGATCATGGAGAGAACGGTACGGTGGATAGTACGGTAAATAGGGTGGATAGTGACTTTGAATATAACATCTTAACCCGTCCTCCTGGATAAGCAAGGAAGATTAAGGCAAATTTTAATCAACTAAATCTTTAAACTGATTTTACTATAAATATGACTAAGCTTAATTATGGTCTTTAGTATTTATATTAGTGGTAAGTTGCCAGTTTGATAATACGTTAGATGTCTTGTGTAATCGTTTATGTTAAACAAACTGTTACTTTGATCTTATAATGTTACGCTCAATAGTACAAAAAGGAATATTTATTAATTTTTGTATTTATTTTTTTGCGATGATGATTATAATTAAAATTATAATGCGATTATGGAAACACATGTCAAACGTGAATATATGTATATATTAATGATATCACATTTATCAAGCATATCGAACTATTTTTATATCAATATTCCATCAATATTAAGCTATCAAAAAATATGATTCATATCGAGGTATCGAGGTTAGCAAATAACCTTAAATGATCGATTTTATTTCAAAGTCATTATTTATAAATATTTACGTAAAATAATTTATTTATAATACTTATAATAAAATCTCTTATATCGAAATCTGATTATAATAAATGAAGTTTAATTATATTAATAAATTATATTTAAATTAAATTTTTAATCCTTCTAATTCTATTATAATCACTCTTATTTAAATTTAAACATTATATTCAATTTCAAATACCAAATTCTTGATTCTTAATCCCAATATTGACTCAAATATTATACTTAATCTTTAATGTTTAATGCCTAATCCCTACTCTAAACCTAACTCAAACATAAAAACTTAAAAAAAATAATGATATTAAAACCAAAATAAAAAGATCTATAAAACTTAATTTCAGATTTTTTAATGTTAATAAGATTTTAATATCATTTTACCACTATTATAAATTTATTTAAATTTTATATTTTTTGCTAAAAGTTTTAATATTTTTTTTTCAAATCTTAATCTAATTATTACAATTTTATTTTTAAAATTACTTTAATTTATAAAAAAAAATGTTTAAGTAAATAAATTATTGTTATTATTCAAATTTAATAATAATTAATTTAAAAATCACATTACAGATTATTTGATTTATGATATTTTATAATTTAATTATACTAAAAACATTTTTATATAGAATATTATTATCCTTAATAATATAATATATTAGGATTTTAGTTTATTTTAAATAAAACAAAAGAATGTAGTCAAATACTTATGACCGCTACTGTATATGTGGATGTGTGTTGAAGTTTGCAAATAGAGTAAATCTTCTCAATTACTGTATAGCGCTCTATAAAGTACCCTGGGTACTAATTGCCAAACTCGGGCTGACTGTAAATAATACCCCCAGGAGTACTGTGTATAATGGAGGATATACTAAATGGGATATTGTGCTAGGAATACAATTTATCAAATTTAGATAATCGGGATGATTGGTTGATCATCTTTTTTTATATATTGAATAAAGAGAAATTTCTGTGAATTTTACGGGTGTTCCAAATGCTTTAATAAATGCAATGCAAAGAATGGACAAGATGTCGAGAAAACTATAGAATCCTCTTCAGCTTCAACAAATCAACCACTTACACCTACACCTACACCTATGCCTATAACTACAACTGTAGAAACACACTTCAGGAATCTTCAGCTTCATCAAACACTATTTCAGAACAAAGTTTTATTTCCGTCACTACTTGAAACTCAACCAAACCAATGTATGTAAAATTAAATTGAAACTTTGCTGATGGAAATGAGAAAACAGGAACAAGTGAAGGGGGAATATGATACAAAATACCTTTCTTTTGAATTTAATTCCAAAATATTTGATATGATTTAGGTTAATATAAATAATCATGCAATACATCCTTTGAATGAATGCTATTGAATTTCTACATTATAATAAGGTATGAAAGCAAATTTTGATCTGAAATGCTGTATATTAATATTAAAGTACTTTTAATTCAATTCATATCTGTTTAACAGGATCACGGTCTACTAATAGTGCAAGTGTATTGAAAAAAATAGAATGGTTATATATGCTGAATATTTAAATTGTTAAATTCAATCAGAAAGATATAATAAAGGTTGATAGATATGCTAAAGGTAATTAGCTTTTCTAAAATTAAGATTAAAATAATTTTTTATTTAACCTTTCTCTTTTTTTTAGATATCAAATATCAAGTCGAAGATGATGTATCGAGTTATAATCATGCATGGAATGCTATATTATATGAAGGATATGGGATATTAATAATAAACAATTAATAAAATTTTAATCCATTTTATTTCATGTATTCTCTCCTATGAAAATAATATTTAATCATTAACTAACAAACCCTAAATTATTGATATTAACCAATAATTCATCTAAAAAATTTATGAAATTAAATCGCAATTTCAATTTTTTGAAAATGATATATTTTACAAAATCTGAAAACATCAAAATATAAAATAATATAAAAAGGTTTGTTAATTTTATTATAACTGAATTGATAAATTATTTAAAATTAATTAGAATTTTTAGCTAATTCTTGTGATGAAGTATTTAAATCTAAATGACTTAATTTTAGTTATGTGTTAAATACGAGGGGTATTATAATTTGCATTTTATGAGGAATATTATAATTAATATAGGGATGTGATCTAAAGAAGATCAGCATATATCACACCCTATATAAAAGGTGATCAAAATGAACACGTTAAAAATTTTAACTTTAAACATATCAAATGAAACCAGCAAAGCAAAAAAAGGATATTTTTTTTATTATATATATACAATAAATTGTATATAATATGTCTCCATCTAATGCAAATAAACACTGTCATCAAGCAACTATTACCCAAAAAAATGACGTCAATGCAACATGTGAGAAAAATTAGCTGTTTTAGTATATCTTGAAAATCATTCACAAAATAGTATTCGAGCAATAGCTACTATATTTAATATTGAACCTATTCAAGTTAGAAAATAGCGTAAACTTAAACAACAATTAATGGAAGCTTCACTTCATATTCGACGATTAAATAATAGTTTACGCCCAAAATATCCAGAACTTGAAACAGTTTTAGACCAGTAGACTAAAGAGTTACGTCAAAATTTAAAAGTTGTAACCAGATCAATAATACAAATAAAGGCTAAAGCTCTTGCACGAACAGATTAATTTAGTACTATATATTTTGATATTAAAGAATGCAAATTTAGTAGTAAATAGATTGATAGATTTATGATACGACATAAATTTAGTCATCGTTCACATATGACTATATCATAACGATTACCTAAAGATTTATTAGAAAAGCAATATGAATTTTTAGGATTTGTTTTTTATCAGCGAATTCAATACAATTATTCATTAAAACTTATTGATAATATGGATGAAACACCTGTTTCATTTAATCTTCCTAGTCAAATAATGATAAAACAAACTGGTTCAAAAACTGTTAGTATTCAGATTTGTGGATATGAAAAATCAAATTTTACTGTAATTTTAGCTTGTATGGCAGATGGAACAAAATTACCAGTAACAATTATTTTTAAATTAGCAAAAGTTCCTCGATAAGTTTTTCCTTTAGGTATTATTATTCAGGCTAATAAAGAAGGTTATTCTAATATAGAAGAAATGTTATTTTGGATTAAAAATATTTGGAATCAACATGCATCATTATCTAGTAATCCTCAATCCTTATTAGTACTTGATTCTTTTGCTAGTTATTTGGTAAATTCTGTTAAAACTCGATTTCAAGAAAAAAATACCAACATCGCAGTTATACCTGGTAGGCTTACTTTCAAATTACAACCATTAGATGTATCAGTTAACAAATCTTTTAAATCTAAGATATGTTTAAAAATATTTATATTTATATATTTATAATCTAAATATTAAAATTTTTATTTATATTAATAATAGTTGCATTATTATTATAATGATTGGATGGCTAAAGAAATAAAAACTTATACTCCAAGTGGTCATATTCAAAAACCTGCTTATAATTTAGTTACTCAATGGGTCAAAAATGCATGGAATGCTGTAGATCCTTCCTTAATTTGTTGTTCATTCAAGTGTTGTGGAATTTCTAATAAACAAGATGGAAGCGAAGAACATCTTATATTTGATTATGATAAAGTTGCAGGAAGTAATACTACTAATCAAAGTAATTATATTTACTTAAATGATGAAATAGATGATCAAGAAGGTAGAAATATCGAAATTTATTTAGAAAAAGAAAAAAATAATATTGGTGATGATGATAAAGAATATGAAGATAATTATTATGAAACACAAGAAAAAAATCATATTAATGATTGAAATTAAATGTATAATAATATAATGAAATATTTGAGAATTTAAAATAAAGTATAAATATTTTTGAAAGTAATGAATTTAATTATTTTTTTAATTTTATTAATTTTATTTGTAAAATATTAAGTTCACGTTTGTATCCGGGTATTAATTAAATTTTTATGTTATATGAACGGTATAATACTCAGATATAATTAATTGGGGGTATTTTTTTCAGGGAATACTTTATAGAGCGCTATACGGTACTTATGACCGCTACTGTAACATGTGAAAAATTACAGAATAAGTCTTATTATAATCAACCTTAAATTATAATTTAGATGAATAAATAATTTTAATAAATTATAATAATAAACATGATTAACATATTGAATTAATATACAGTCCCCTGCGAAAAAAATGACAATGTAATCTTTTATTATATAATTAACTTTTTTTAAAGAATTTGTATAAACAATTATAT